TTCTGGACCTACTAAACATATAGCTTCCATATGATCCAGCAAATCCACTCCTAGGTCTTTACCCAAAGGACACAGAAACATCCATTCCAAAGAACACCTGCACCCCTATGTTTATAGCACCACTATTTACAGTAGCTAAGCTTTGGAAACACCCAAATGCCCAAATAGATGACTGGATCAAGAAGATGTGGTACATATATACCATGGAATATTACTCAGCATTCAAAAAGATAAACACATGCAATTTGCAGCAACATGGATGCGCTGGAAGGGATCATGCTCAGCGAAATAAGCCAAAAGAAAAAGAAAAATACCGGATGGTCTCACTCATAGCAGGAATCTAGAAAACTTAAATAAAGGACCAGGAAAATGAATAGCTATAAGAAAGTGAAAATCAAAATCAACAAAAAACTATGAACCAGAGACACTTTTTGGGGGGTGCGGGGCGGGAGGGGAGGATTGGCGTCACAATGGGGGTTTGCATGTATGGGGAATCTAAAAATAAAATTTATTATTTAAAAAAAAAGAATATAAACACAATGGAAAAAAAAAAACAAAAACACTCCCCAAAACAAAAGCCCCGGCCCAGGTGGCTTCACAAATGAATTCTACCAAACGTTCAGAAATGAATTAGTGCTTGTCCTACACAAACTTTTTCAAAATTTGAAAAAAGAAGGAATACTACCAAATACGTTCTACAAAGCCAACATTTCACTAATACCAAAACCAAACAGGCAATACACAGAAAGAAAATTACAGGCCACTCTCCCTAATGAACACTGATGCAATAATCCTCAATAAAATCCTTCCCAACAGAATCCAACAGTGCATCAATGGATAATATACCGCCGTCAAGTGGGATTTATACCAGGGGCACAAGGATGGTTCAACATATGAAAATTAATCAATGTAATCCAACACATTAACAAAAATATAAATAAAAACCATATGATCATGTCAATAGGTGCTGAGAAATTATTCAACAAAGTCCAGCATCCATTTATGATGAAGGCCCTTGAAATTCTCGGGATAGAAGGAACATACCTCAACATCATAAAGGCCATATATGACAAGCCCATAGCCATCATCATTCTCAATGGTGAAAAGCTGAAAGCATTTCCCATAATATCTGGAACAAGAGAAGGATGTCCACTCTCACAACTGCTTTTCAATATAATACTGGAAGTCCTAGCCATATATGACAAACCCACAGCCAATATTATTCTCAATGGCGAAAAACTGAAGTCCTTTTCTTTAAGATAAGGGGAAAATAATAATTCAAAACACAACACAACACAACAAAAACAAACAATTATAAACCACAGACATGCTGCAGGGGAGGAGGAGGGAGAGGGATCAGAGGGAGGGAGAGAGGAGCACAGGGAAGTGTGGTGATGGTACACAGGTGCATTGGCAAAGGAAATTCTGTGGGGACTACACCTGAAGGGGGGGAGCAAACATCATTTAAAAATGAACAATGATGTAAAAAATAAAAATAAATAAATAAATAAATAAATAAATAGGAAAACAACAAGCTAGTGAAAGTGAAAAAAAAAAAAATCACATAAAACCACAGAGCCACCTGCTGGAAAACAGAGGTAGTTCACTTCTCTAAGTTACAGCTACTCATACTTTAAAACAAAACAAAAAACCCAAAGAAACTGACAAAACTAAACCAATAGAAACCCTAGAAAATGACTCCAGAATTGAGGTTCCTAGCTGGTGGTGGTGGGAAAAAAGGACCAAGGTGGCCCAATGATCTAGGGTAAAGGATTATGGTGCTTGGTTGGTGTGGGTTCAGTGGTGACATAACTTGCTGTGTGAACCAAATCATGTACAGTGTTGTAAGCCCATGTTACCTCAATAATGAAAAAAAGAGAGAGAGAGAGAGAAAGGGAAATCTAAAGCAGCAAAATGGGCAGACAAATAAAAGTGACACATAGTGTCTTGATACCTCAAAGGAGTATAACAAGGAGAAAACAGCTCTCCAGAATCTAACCATAGGGCCTTCCCTGTGGCAGGGAACACAGTTCAAGCTTCTCTGTGGCAGCTTGAACACAGCGCTATGAAGCTGTCTGTAGCCTCTGCAGCATGGGTTCGATTCCCGGCTGGCCAGGTAGAAACCACATGGTGCAGCAGACCTCTCCTGTCTTGCCCTCTGCTCCCCTCAACAGTGTGTTTTGGTCTGTCTTCCTGTTCTATTCCTCACTCTGTCTCTGGTGAATCCTCTCATCCTCGCGTGCCTCTGGCCTGTACCCCAGTTCTTATATAAAAATAAATAAATCTTTTTTTAAAAAAAAGGATCTAACCACAAAGACAAAGAATATTTTATTTTCCTATCCCATAAATACTCTTAAGTTGTCATAGTGAATAATATTCAGAAAAGCAAGTCAGAGTGAGAAAAGAGAACTCATTAAAGGTAATCAAAGAGATAACGTATTTAAAAACAAAAGACCTGAGAAATTTAATGGACAGAAAATAGAAATTGAACCTTTAAGAAAATAGACAAATACAGAATGATTTCACTCATACGGAGTATATAGAGAAACAAAACAAAGAGACAGACAAAACTAAACCAACCTTCTCCAGAATTATGAATGCATACTTGAGGCTATTAAAGGGGGAAAGTTAGGGTGGGAACAATGCAGATGGGGCCCAACAGTCAATGGTGGAGGACTATGGGTACTTTGGTGGTGGGTGTGTTGTAGAAACATTGCTCTGAAGAGTTATGAACCTATCTCCCTAAATCATATATAGTATTGTAAGCCATTTATACCTCAATAAAAATAAATAATAATATAAGATCCAAGATGGTATCAGAGGAGGTCCCTTGCTTCATGCCACAGAGTATCATTTATGTTAAAACATAGAATACTTCACACAGAGAATCCCATGACTTGTGTGAAACTGGAACACCTCTTGTACATCAGATACCATGCAGAATGCACCAGAAGGCATGTGAAGGAGATTCATGTTTCATTGAACAAGAAGTGTATGGAGAGAGATTACCTTGAAGAGTCTGTGCTCTGAGGCAGGAAGCTACAGTACAAACTGCAGAACTTCCACTTGGCCAGCTTCTTGCCTGACAGCCCTGGAAAAGGAGAGCTGAAACATGCGGAGGCACATACACTTGACTGAGGGAAATCCAGACAGAAGAGCACAGTAAGGACATTATGCTGGGGTATGATCCACCTCTCCCAATCTGGGACTGGTAATGACTCTGTTAGTCTCACTGACACCATACTTGTGTCTGGAATCCCAGAGAGGAGGACTACCGGCGAAGTCATCAACATAGTCTTGCCTCCACACAGAGCTTTCACACATTTGCTTGACTCCTCCAGGACCCTCCCCAACCCTCACTCATGCAACAGTGGCAAGATCAGATCTTCAGATCTATAGCAGTCCAGAAAGGCCAAACGTGTAAACATATAAAAACCACAGCACCACCTGCTGGAAAGGGAAAAGTATAGCAAAACTCTAAGCTACTACAACAGATTTTTGAAAGTAGGAAAATAGAAAATTGGGAAGAGGAAAAATGAAAATATGACAACTTGAGACCTCAAGGGAATATGACATCAAAGGGGAGAACAACTCTACAAAATTCAATTGTAAAGATATGGAAAATATTATCTTTCTATCAGAAAGTTCAAAATTGCCATGATAAAATGTTCAAAGATATGAAAGATATGCACAACAACAAGTCAAAGTGATATATACAACATAATTCAGAAAAAATATTACTGCCAAGGGACCAGGAAAAAGACTAATTAATACAAAGTGAAAATCAAAATCAACAAGCAACTATAAACCAGAGACACACTACAGGGGGGCGGGAGAGGAAGGAATAGGGTCAAAATAAGGGGGGGTGCAATTGTATGGGGAATATAACCAAAATGAAAATGCATACATTGTGCAAAAATGAAAATGTTGTAAGAATTATATAAAATAAAATATTAAAAAAGAAATTAAAAAAAATACTGTCATTGGAATTAAAATTGCTGAACAGAAAATAGCAAGTAAAGATCTAAATAAGAAAATAAGGGTGTTATAGGTTTTAAAAAAAATGATAAAGGAGACAAAAAACACTGGAGAAAGTTTTGGAAGTAGAGGTCATGAAATGGAGGATCACATCCATGACCCTGAAAATAATAAGACACATAGGACCCCTGCTATGAGTGAGACCATCTGGTATTTTTCTTTTTCTTTCTGGCTTATTTCACTGAGCATGATCCCTTCCAGCGCCATCCATGTTGATGCAAATTGCATGTGTTTATCTTTTTTGAATGCTGAGTAGTATTCCATGGTGTATAAGTACCACATCTTCTTGATCCAGTCATCTATTTTTGAGCATTTGGGTTGTTTCCAAAGCTTAGCTATTGTAAACAGTGCTGCTATAAACATAGGGGTGCAGGTGCTCTTTGGAATTGATGTTTCTGTGTCCTTTGGGTAAATACCTAGGAGTGGAATTGCTGGATCATATGGAAGCTCTATGTTTAGTAGGTCCAGAAATCTCCACACAGCTCTCCATAGTGGTTGGACCAGTTTGCACTCCCACCAAAAGTGCAGAAGAATTCCTTTTAATTCACATC